TTTTTTAACAAAGGTGACTCCATTTTGAGTCTGACAACTTTCATATGGAGGATGTGAGAAGAAGGAGGGTGGTCTGACAAGACTCAGGAGAACAGGGCAGGGAGGGGTTACTTCCAGAGGAGCCAGAAGGCTGTGGACTAAGCAGCTTGCCCTCCCCAGTCTGGGGAGAAAGGTGGGCTTGGGAAGGCCAGCCAGGCAGGGGCAGAGACGACAGAAGTCTGGGGGGAGGCCATGCCACCTCTTGATTTTTTTTTGAGTTGGAGTCTCACTCTGCCACCCAGACTGGAGTGCAGTGGCCGCTCACAGCCACTGCACCCTCGCCCTGCTGGGCTCCAGCGATCCTTCCGCCTCAGCCTTCCAAGTAGCTGGAACTACAGGCACGTGCTACCATGCCTGGCTAATTTTTTGATTTATTGTAGAGATGAGGTCTCGCCAAGTTGCCCAGGCGGGTCTCGATCCCGCGGGTTCAGGCAATCCACTCACCTCGGCCTCCCAAGGCATGAGATTACAGGCTGAGCCACTGAGCCCGGCCACCTCTTGATTTGCAGAGCACACTGCTGGAGGTTCAGGGGCGTAGGAAATCAGGCCTGTGCAGAAACAAGCCCGACTGGAGTCTCTTGCTGGAATGTCACTCCCATTGGGAGCAGAATCCTCTCTGTTCCCTGCCCCATGGTGTCCCTGAACACCCAGTCTGAGCTGTGGCTCCAGATCCCCCCACCTGCAGCACCACCATGGCGTCCCTCCTCTCCTGGTTTATCTCTGAGGGTGGCACCCTCTCAGCCCCCACCCTTCAGGCTCTTGCTCTAAGTCCTTCCTCCTGAAAGCCCTCCTTGATTCCAGAAGGCCTGAGGGACAGTCAAGCAGGTAGGTGCTGAACCTGATTATTGTTCCAGCCATACTACTCCCAGCTCAGGTACCCCAGGCAGGACGGCTCCAGGGCCCACACGGGGCTTTCCCTAGCTCTGGGGTTCAACAGCCCTGCCCTCTGTCTTCCAGCACACTTAGGCTCATGCTGGTACCTGTCCCCTGGGCTCTCTTAGCCCAACTCTTCATATGGCCGTCTCTTTTCTCCCACTCAAGTAGTAACCAGCCTGACCCTGCTTAGTGACCAAGATTAGATGAGATCAGGCATATTCAGGGAGGTATGGCCATACACAAGGGCTGTCTTCTTTCTATTCCTCCAGTTCCACCTCCTCAGATTTGCCTTCCTTGACCACCCTGTCCTAAAAGCCTCCCTTATCCGGTCACTTTATCCTGCTTGCCCATTTCTTTAACTGGTAGTTATTTTTACCTGTTTCCTGTCTGTTATCTGCCCCCTCACCTGTCTATGTTCTCATGAGGGCAGAGGACTTCTGCCTTCCTGCTCTGCATCCCAGAAGCTAGGACGGCACAAGGCACTGGGCAGGAGCTCGGTAAATACCTGTGAAAGACTGGCTCCCTGACCCACACTGAAGGGGCATCTTTGGGGACCTAGGGAGGGGTGGGAGTAACCAGATCCCTCATCCCTACTACCTTATGCTGAACACTCGCTGAACGCCGGACACTTGACTGTCTACTCCTTCCATTTCACAGCCACCCTTCAAGGGAGGGAGGTATTATTACCAGCAAATTATGTCCCTACCACACCATGATCATATTCTCTTGTAGGAGGGTAATTTGGCCATAATGATGTCGATATCAATCAAAACTTTAAATATACATATCTGGTTGGGCACAGTGGCTCACACCTATAATCCCAGCACTTTGGAAGGCTGAGGCGGGAAGATTGCTTGAGCCCAGGAGTTTGAGGCCAGCCTGGGCAATATAGCAAGACTCTGTCTCTAGAAAAGATTTTTAAAATTAGCTGGGCACAGTGGTTCATGTCTATAATCCCAGCACGTTGGGAGGCAGAAGCGAGAGAATTGCTTGAGTCCAGGGGTTTGAGATTAGCCTGAGCAACATGGTGAGACCTTGTCTCTTACAGTAAATCAAAAATTAGCTGGGCATGGTGGCACATGCCTGTAGTTACAGCTACTTAGAAGGTTAAAGTGGAGACCCACCTGGGCAACTTGGCGAGACCTCATCTCTACAATAAATAAAAAAATTAGCCG